AAACATACAGTATGTGCCTTCTTGTTAAAATACTTCAAATCCTAACTTTAAACTAGGGATGCAAGTTAATGAATAATGAGTTATAATAAAAGGAAAAGTGGCCATTTTCTTAAAACCATACTTCATGTTATATATCCATAACATGAAGGGCTATTTTTTATATGCTGATTATAAAACATTATATATATAAACCATTTATTGTGTCAGCTGTATTAAATACTGACTGAATAAACAAAATAAAATTGTTTTTCGCACACATAATTAAACTCATTTAAATTTATAAAACAACACAAAACAGGAATTCAGAGTTGCTGAATGGAAAAAAAAATGATGAAAATAATAAAATATGTGAAACATTTAATCCTCCATCAACAGAGATGTAAAACTATCATTTAAACACTGAGTAACATATAAGTTAAAGACTCACTGAAAAAAAAAACATATATAAAAATAACAACATGCTAGCATAACATAATTTTTGGTTGAGACGATGCTGCTCTGCAGCACAGAGGACTGAGCGCTGTAAAGGTGATATCTGAAGTAATACCTCTGGACAGGTTCTTTGTTGAAAACATTTTGTCTCTTCACTAAAAGACTTCTTAAGTCTGAAAAGTTGCAGGTAAGCACAACTGGACATGGAGGCCTCTGTGTCCAATTGTCCCCCTCCTACAATGCTGTTATTGTGTGTATGACTCAGCCCTCTGTGAACGATTGTTGGCAATCAGGGCACTATCAGTCGTTAGGCTGATGGTCATCTTTTGCATGAGCACAACCAGTTTTGATTGTCATCATTAAACTTGTTGTCCACCATGTGGAAGTATTCGTCACAAAATGAAGGTAATAGGTTGAGTGTTAATATTTAGAAACAGAACCAAAAAAACGTACAAGTTAAAACAGTGAAGCAAATTTTGCACCCTTGTCATTATTAAACAAAATAAAATAATCCCACACCGACCTTTATTTGGATCGTTTCACTTTCCTGTTCTGGGATGCCGCCGCCATGATTATTTTGCTTACAACAATCAACTGCCTCCACTTAAGGATAAGCAGCAGTGCCCTCTTGTGGATGGTGGTCACACTACAACACTGAATGAAGGTTTAAGTAGATGTTGTCAGTTGATCAAACAGAACAAATTTGAATCTAATAAACATTATTCAATTATTAATCGTAAGTCGATTAGTTGCTTGCATCCCTACTTTAAAATAAAAAATTCACTGTATTTATTAGTACTGGAATTCCGTTTTACAGTAAAATAAATCTGCATCATTCCTATTATATTACAGGCCTGATTGAAAGTTGTGTTTTGCAAACAAAGCCTTTGGAATGTCTTCGTTTTACATGGAATGTTTTCAAAGAGCACTTTTCTGATCAATCATTCAAATGTTCTGCATGAATTCAGCTCTTGTTGTGTTTCTTCTGCGTAAATCAAGTCATTGCCCATGACAGTCCTCCTCCTCCCCCACATCCCACTAACATGCTTTAGCCTTTATGTTTTTTGGCATTTGCTCACCTTGAACCAACAGACCAAACTAACCAATGACCCGCTAGACCATCCATGTCCACACACTTTGACTTCTTTCTTTCTTTTTTTTTTGTCTGAATCCACTGGACTGAGAAAGAAGTCAGAGGTTTTACCAGCCCTGAGGAAAACTGTGTTCCCTACAGCTGTGGTGTGCACTCGGTGGTGGGGATAAAGACTCTTCTTTTTGCGCTGCCAAGAAAGGCAGAATATGTTTAAAACAAAACTTGCTGCACAGAAAAATATATGTTGATTGGAAAGGGGGAAAAAAACAGACCGAAAAAAACAAAAACGTTGCCACAATCTTGACTTTAATTTGCATATTCTGCCTGTCTTGTGTTTTGTGGAATGGGAGACTCTTTGTCCACAGCCAGTCAGCTATAGGAAATACTCTCATACTTTAACCAGAGGGAGATGAAGCAAGCTATGGCGGAGACGCTTTGAATGTGTCCATCTATAATTGGTTATTTCCTTTCAGTGTCTTTAAACTTAGAATGGAAAGTGGAAGCTAAAACACTCAAAATCTTTGGCTGAATGTGCCTTTGCTCATGGTTATGCGCTGTAGTTCATTTTGTTAATATACATAGTAATGCTGTGCATGCTGTGGGATCTGAAAAGAAATGACCATTTGTTGACAGATGTCCACATCTGAGGCATTTCCATTTAGCTGCTTCATTTCTCTCTGAGGCCCCTGCTTGGTAAAGCCTGTCTCTACTACTGTATGGCCACCCCCCCAGCATTTTAGCCCACTGCACGTTTACAACTAACATGTTCATCAAAACCCAAGTGCTCCTGTTTCCCATCAGCAGGAGAGTTCCCAATACCCAGTTAATGTTATCATGATCACCACCAATCATGCGACCAGTCTCTTTAATTTTTTTGTCCCCCCCACATAGACTGTCTCCTAATGGCTATATTGTTTCGTATTATTTTCAAGAAACCCAGTAAACCTGGCAGTGTTAAAATTGAACGAGCAGGGCCTCTTGGACAAATTGAAAAACAAGTGGTGGTACGACAAGGGCGAGTGCGGCAGCGGGGGCGGGGACTCCAAGGTCAGAGCCAGTTTGATAAACCCTGTGGGTAACGAGGGCGGGGAGGGGGGGTAACCGGCAGGTCCACGTTACCTCTACGGCAACACGCTATTCTCTTCACGCTTTAGGGGAAGGTCAATCACAAAGTGCCAAGTAGGGTAACTATTTGGCCGGCAGAGCTTGAATTTGGAAACGAAGAGAGTGGCTTATTTATTTTTCTTCTGTGATTAAAAAAAACTACAATTTACTAAATGAAAGATATTTTTTATTAGGCCRCATCCATTATGAGTGTTGATGTTTTCAAGTTTAGTTCTTTCTAAATTATTTTTTAACCAGAAGATTAAATCGAAATCATCCTTGTTGCATTGATGAGGGTAAGCAGTGTGCCGGTTACCCAAAGTGATATAGTAATACACATCTACTGCCTTAGAAAGCAAGTCAGCCAAGCTAGATGGAGTATTAATGCATATCACTTTGACTCTGATGTTTCTAATGATGTTTATGCTGCATATTTGTGTGTGTGCGTGTGTGTGTTTTGTTTTTTTGACTTATACACAAGCGAKGCCGTGCATTGTTGTATGAATGTATTTGCTGCTCATGTGTGTGTGTKTTTTTTAACCTAATAACATAAAATAACATGGTATAATATGTTATTTATGTTATTTCCCTATTGTTGGAAGAATCCCAGTAAACCTAGCGGTGTTGAAACTCAATGAGCAAGCCGTCTTAGACAAACTGAAAAACAAATGGTGGTACGATAAAGGAGAGTGTGACAGCAACGACTCCGCAAGAAAGGTTAGTCTCCATTGCAAACTCGTCACCTCACCGCACCTAGCATAACCATTGCTCTGAACGTCTCTAGACCAGTCCCAACCTCCCAAAAAATTTAAATAAATAAATAAATCAGCCTCTACTCCAAAAAGCCACATTCCTTCTCTTCTATGTGGTGCTAGGAGTACCACCGCACTGGTCCAAATATGAGACGACATTTCTAAGACAACCTAACACCTGTCATTTGGGTTAAAAACATTTTAAAGATGAGCTGCGCCTGATGCAACTAAGAATGCATGGTACTTTCAAATTCAAAAAATCTTAACATTTATCCTTTAACAGCTGTTTCATTTGTGAAAATACATTTTTAAATAAAAGAGTGTTGATGATCAGTGCRTTGGTCTTCCAAAAATAGTTTGACTTGCACTTAAATCAATTTGTCACTCAGAGTTACAAAATATCTAAAAGAAATTACTTCAAATATTCCCACTGACATGCAAATGTGAACATTTTTCACCACTTTCCATGTTTTTAGTGTGTACGCCTTTTACATGCACTTGGAAGCAGCTAAATTTGACTTCCATTCAGTTCCGATCGCTGTCTATAAGAGCTGTGGTAGGAACAAGATTGTCTTATTCATTTCAGCTGTAGCAACTTTTAAAAAAAGACAAAAAAAACATTGTCTGGGTAAAATACAGAATGTCAGCCAAAGAGAAATGGAAAAGTCTAACGCAATATTTTGGTGTAGATTTAGTTCGGAAAGGGGCTGMTGATCTTGTTTGTTTTTAGCCTCTCCACGATATATTTTTTTGCACATTTTTGTACATGCAGGGATTTTAGATTACTGGTGGTGGGAGAGCTATTGAAGGAAAACAGTGAGGCTGCCTACAAAGCAGACAGGTGTAGACCTGGTGTCAAGCTGGCACTGCTGAYTGACTGCTGGCAAGTGGTTTGTCAACCGAATGTGGGCCAGTTCTGGCTGTGATGGCACTGTTTTTTTTTAAAGATGCCATGCCACAAATGGCCCAGTTGAAGTTTGTTTTATGTGATGTTGACTCRTGGAGTACCACATCGGCAGGGTTGGACCTAGCCAATTTGGTGCCCTTTGTTCAATTTTCAAAAGTTCACTGTCAAATTACATACATGCACGTACTAAATTAAATAGTTTTGTCTTTTATATTGTTTTTTATCTTTAGAAACCAGATTTTCCAATTAAAACAGTTAACAATATAAGTAATTTGAAACTAAATTCCAGAATTCTACCTCATACCTGCCAATATTTGCTGACAGCAATGAGAGACACCTGTTCATGTTGTCAAGCAGCTGTGAAGTGAAGCAGTTCTAGGGGGGTCCAGAGTTATACCACCCAGAAAAACTGTGTAAGGTATACTGAAAAGTATGCATTTTCCAACTTTTGAAGAGAATGTGACCAAATGTTTTAGTTCATTAAAGGCACAGTGTGTAGGATTTGTTGTTTTCAGTGACAT